AATTTATCAGTACACAATTAAACAATATACATCAAACTCGAAAGGTGGAGCTAATTACTAATGTGAACATTGTATTCATTCATAATCTGTACTATCTTGACCTTGTATATATCACATAACTATAATTTCAATATATTGTTGATATATTGGTTTCACTTCCATCTAAAAGGTATGACCTTCTTTATTATCTATTTTCGATGATTCAAATAATATTCACTAATTAGAGTTGACCTATTGAAGTTATTTGTGGAGCATGGTGTGACATTGACTCAATGAAACAGATAAGCTAAATTCTAATTTATACGTAAATAAATATTTTATCTTAGTTATCTAATGTAACATACGTATGCAATATTCAGGACCATATAAAGTAAAGCATTCGTCCACATTCCGAAACTCGACGCATAAATCTTTATTCAAGGGAAAGCTGGACAAATTGATCAAAAAATATATGTGTGCATTTCACGCTTTTTATCTTATTTATTAAATACGATAACAAATCGAAATGATGTCTTCCTTTAGCACAGTTTTACCGAGATGTTCTAATTAACCTATCGAAAAAAGGTTATTAAAAATTCTTTATCTGTGAGAAATTTGTGTTTAGCGAACTCCTTCGTTATCCACATTTTGATCATTATGAATTAATCATTATCTGTTGTCGTCATGCAGACAATGCTTCTAGGATAGTTCACGTATGTGAATATAATTATTACCTTAAACTCGAAGTATAGTCGCTAATTGGAGATAAGTTATAGCAAATGTAAGAGGATTCATTTCACTTTGCACTCCATCATTAGGAAAGACAATCATTTATAGCTGCAATCAAATTATGTCAGTATGCTTTCTTTCAAATGCCCCTCTCGATGAAGTCAATAGAAAAATGTAAATCGTAGCCCCTTTATAAATTATTAAAGTAAACAAGAATATAATAAAGCTTGCAGTAATCCTGAACATCTGCCCTCGTTGCTAAAATCATAAATTGATTTGAATTGTATTCAATAATAATACAACGTTTTAATATTGTCGCCCACCGCTTAATCCAAACTCCGATAATTATAATCAATTCCGTCAATTTCTGATCCTTTTGTAGTTAAATTACGTCTACATATGAAATTAGCCACTTTTACGATGGTGATAGACACTACAATATTCGGTTATTGTAATCTGATCTTTATTAGACACTACAATATTCCGCTATTGTAATCTGATCGTCATATATCCATTATTTGCATGAGATTACATTACCTACGTACGCAATTTCAATTCACGATATTGTTTAACAATTAGTTTATGAACAATATAAGATACTCCGAAAATTCATTTACCCATGATCAACTTCTTTCGTAGCCTTACTCTAAAATAATCTTCTTGTAGTCAGCTTAACCAAATTTAAATCATTTAACACAGTTTGAGACGAAAAATACGCAATAAATGCCTAGAATGGCTTTCATTTATCGGTAACCAGAGTGAAACGTTTATTAACGATCTCCCTAATTTGCGATTATCATTTGGAAATCTCACCAAAGCAATATTAATGGTTTGTTTATTGAATTTGCTTTAATCAAATCAAATTAAACCACAACTTAATGTAATTAATTCGGACATATCTTAAATATAGAATATTGAACAATCAAATATCAAAAATTCATACAATGGATAATAGTATATGATCTTATAGATTTATAGTTCAAGACGTGAAATGTAGCTTATTAGTCCATGCAGTTTGCGATCCATTAATGATTTAGTATCGAAAGATTAAATCCATCGATGATTATTTAGATTCTTTCTAGTAATTTATTATAGCAAGATACACTTAGATCTGAAGGTGCAAATATGATTACTATTAGCTCATTTGGAGTATTTGCTGACCGATGCAACCAAGCGATCAAATAGCAGCTGAAATATGATATCAGATAGCAATAATGTTATCTTAGCCATGGAAGCAAAAGCTTTCTAAGCGATAAAAATTACTGTGATATTTATTTTTGCAATGACCTCATATAATCCTTGGGATCGGATAAATTCCGTTTTATGGTGGAAGACAGTCATTAAATAATATTAAGATGCTTATTGTCTTGATTTATATCTGATCTAACTATAATCTAATTAATACCAAATAGAAATTTGATAATTCGCCTTATTTATCTCATGGCAACTTAATAGAATTGGTAGATATGATTAATTGCATTTATCTTATGACAAGGATGGCTAGATACATGCTCAATTAAAAAATGTACAAGATGCATACTATAAAAATTTTTAAGGCTAAGAAATCACATCTTATGACCAGTGGATTTATATAGCATAAAATGATAAATATTTACTGCATTAACCGTTTCTCTATGTCACCGTTACTTAAATATCATACTAAACCCTAATTTCGCTGAAATAAAGATACTCAACCCCATGTAACATTTTTAATTGATCATTTTTCAGATAATTGCCTAACAAAATATCGTTCAAGTTGGATTTATAAACATTTACTCTGATAGGTAAAAAATAAACTCTTTACCACTTCTAAAATTATGAACTTTACAATTTTATCGTATCATAAGTATGCCCGCAGACATTTTAACTAATAAATTTTGGATAATTTTTTTGGCTTTGTAACTCATTAAGTTACGAGCTAGCTTTTCTTCAATTGGCAAATATTTGATTCAATTTCATCGTATTCAAGTTAAGGTTCTTAAAAAATACAGAATAACTTATTGCTCCTTATACCATCACTATGGATTTCAGCTATCGAATTATCTCGACTAAAGTGGTTCCGATTTCAATTTTCCTTTCTATACTAATGATCATTGCACCAGCTGTACAAAGTAAATACTTTTCATGCCCTAAAAATAACCAGGAAGATAAGGTACTAACTTTAGCAGGCTCATTTGATATTACTGGCGATGAATTAAGCGGAGTTGGTCCATTGACTGCTGCACATATGGCGTTGCGGCATATTTACTATAACTCAACTCTTTTACGCGGCTACTGTTTAAATATGGATTGGAGTAATGCATATGTAAGTGCTGTAAAATCATAATATTTATGATAAACTAATTTATTCTGTCTCAATGTGCTTCAAGAATAGCGCTAGACTATCATAATAATAGTAAAGCTAAGATAAATAAGAAAATTAATACTTTCTAGTAGTACCTACGTATATTATAATTGTTAACAAAGCAAATAAACTGCAATCGTATAGCGGGTAAATTTATACTTTCTAATTCACCAACATTCCCGGCTAATAGCAAACCTAGTACATGCAATTCTCCATAATACGAATACTGAAAGTAATGATTAAATATACGTATATAGATATACTGTTATACACTAATAACAACACCAAATCAGATAAAATACTAGTTTTTCTGATCGACTTGCAGCTCTTGGAGTCGAATTAATTAGTCTTTTGATGGATAAGTGAGCAATAATGTTTGATTTGTAGTTATTAACATACTTACTACGTATATCAAAATTACTCCATATTAAACTGCCAAAAGCCTCCCTCACGGCTGGCTTTCACTTGCATGTCATATTTTTTACAAGTTTTCCGGCTCTTCCTATTAGTTTACTTACAAATATTACATGAAAATATTTGAGCTGAAGATTGATGATACTTAAATCACCTAATATGTCTATTATGAACTGTAATAATTGTAATAACAAATTAAAACAATTCCAAATCTGTCTCATATCAATCAATGAGCATTAGAACTTGCAAATATATTCCTATAAACGCATCATTTTCTTGAACAATTTTACCAATTGATATAATCTCGTAGATATAGAAACTAGGCATTCGTATGTATCCCTGAACAATGAAAGAAAAATCACTGTGTTAACAGGAAGCTTTTTCAATATTCAGACTTGTACTAGATAGAGAGGACCATGTAGATCTAGCTATACTCAATAATGACCAAACAAAGTAAATTTTTAATAAAGTTTTAAGGTTCCTTCATCATTTTGATCCTAATAGTAAGAGTAGTATTATTTTTTCGAATAGTTTACACTCGGCCATACTTAGATAGTTCATTACACACGGAAGAAGTTAACGTCGTAGTCTTTTTATTGATTATTAAATCCTCTTAATTACAGCATTTACAGACTTGAAGTATATGCTTGTCACAACCCTCACTTGTGGCAAAGGAAAGTAAAGAACTCTAGTGTAGTTACTTAAAACTTGGGCTATTTCTCCCAGTACTTTCAGTTTCTATGAGAGAAGTATTTGAGAACTCGATTTCTCGGCTGATCTCCACAGACAACTGACTAATTATTACACTATTCTTCATGATATGAGTCTTGCCGTTTCTTGAGCAATTACTTTTTTTATTCTACAAACATACGCGCTTAAATAGGTTTCTACAGTAAATTCCAATATTAACGAGTGAGAATTCATGCTTTACAAGTTACATTAATTAGTATAATACCATTACTAAATATACATGTCGATATTCTCAGATTTAGATAGCTACAAGCTATCAGGTGTTAAGACGCTTAACCTTCGTCCATATACAGCTCAATTTTTAGAGATTAACATAACTTATAAACCTACAGTAAATTAACTGCTAACAACTTCTATTTTTATCTCATTTCTACCATCCTATTATCAGCTACAAGCGCATTAAAACATAGCACATAACCTTATCTTATCTATTCATAAGCATTCATTAATTTACAGTTACTTAATTAGTAACGGCGTACCGTGACAATGCTATACCTATCTTGAAAATGATCTTAGTCATAAAGTCTAGTCTTTAATAAGGATGCAGAAGCCCTCCTACATATTTAAAAATACTATACTCTATCTGAAATTCTTTTCACAAGGGCGTGTACCTCAGGTACGAAATAAAATTTTCATAATGATAATGATTTCGTGTTCAATTTAAAGTTTAACACTATACCCTAAAACAACTAGATTTAGAACTAATTTTGTGAAATTATAATGAAATCTTAATTCAACTTTTGTCATCAATTTTAAAAAATTTAAAATTTCTGTCGACATCGTAATGTCGTTTCAGTGCGATGCAGGCTTAGGCTTAAAGCTATTGTACGACCAAGTTACTACTGGAACAACTAAGTTGGCAGTATTTGGCTCATCTTGCTCCGTCGTAACTCAGCAGATGGCACGAATTACACCCTATTATAACCTGATTCAGGTAATTGTAATTCAACAACCAACTGAACCAAATAAATGCAATATGAAATATAATAAATTGTATTTTTGCATTGTTGCAAGCTGTTATTTTCAATTAATTTCCATATTAGGGATTATTACCAGTTATGTTCACCATTTTAGGGATAATTACTGCCGTGAGATTATGTTTTAAAACAAATTTACTATTGTCGTGGTTTTTCTTAACTTATCTTACAAATATAGAGTATTGATGTATAAACTATAATGGTATAAAAAGTATATACGATAGAGAAAAGAGTAGATTTCGGCTTAAGATAAATTTGCATAAGGCATTAAATTGCTCGTTGGAGATTTTTTTGAGTTTAACTTGCAGTCGTGATACTAGCAATAGCGTTAAAAACCATAAAGTTCTTCTACATTATTGAATGAGCTGATTCACTTTAATCACTTTTAATTAGCTCTCCTATCTATCTTCGTCCCCTACGTTAAATTCAAGAGACGATTATTCAACATTATACCGTACCTACCCGTCAGAGACTTCTATTAGCTTGGCTAGATTAGAGCTTTGTAGAAGATACAATTGGAAAAAGATTGCAATTATATCAGAATCTCTACATGTTTGCTCAAAGGTATAGGCCAAATCTGATCTATATAATAATTACAGCACGAATCAATAAGCTACTATAACTTTTGAAGCAAGCCTTTTATAAACTTTGGTAGACGGCTCAAATCATGAGTCAACTTGCAAAGGCCAAAAAATTGGAAATTCTAGCCATCACAGAATTTGGTGATCGTGAAGACCCGCTTCAAGCGTTAAAAATTATTAAAGTAATTTGCTTCGTGTTATCAATTGATCTATAATTTCATTTTTACACATTTAAAATTGCTAATTCGTAAGGTAAGATCTTTCGTTTTTCATAATTTTGACTAGAAAATGAAAGCTAGAATCATCATGGGAGGATTTACATCAACTTCAGCCTTAAAAGTATTCTGTCGTGTAAGTCAATACTTGAAAACATTATTCAGTAAAATCTTGATGCTATTTTGGCCATACTCTTTAATTTCTAATTACTCCTTGAGATGTTTACTCGATAAATTAGTAATTTTTCAGGCTCAATGTATAAATAATTTCACTAAAATTTTTGAAAAATTACAGGCCTACCATTTAAACTTAACAACACCAAAGTATGTCTGGATGATTAAGGGTTGGTTTAATAGTAATTGGTGGAAGCTAGATCAAGAAAATATTACAGTTGGTAATGTAAGCTGTACTCAAGCCCAAATTAACCAAGCTATAGATGGTTACTTCTCAAATGATGGCCTTCAAATCTATGATCAACCACTTGACACAGTCTCAGGCTTAGTAAGTAGTAATTACTTTACGGAAACCAAAAACTACCCTAAATTTTGAACCACGAGGTTGAGATAGTTACGATATAGTCTAATCATATCAAACACATGGATAACTTCATTTCCATCGGAGAAATTAAATACAAGTATATTTATATATCTACCATCCATCTATTTTTCTCAATAATATAAATATTATCTAGTCAATAGTCTAATTATCATGTGCAACCATGATGATAGTTAAACAAGATTACTACTTTAATATGACAATGCAAAGTTTTAAGCATCATAACTAATTCTGAAATATAGACTCCTCAGGAATGGAATAAACTTTATAATCAAGAAATGGCTCAGAAGCCGCTGAAACACGCCATTGACGACTATGGCTCATTCGCCTATGATGGCATTTGGAGTCTGGCACTGATGCTAGATCGGTCTATTAGTTATCTAAAACGTCAAAATTTAACCTTGGAAGGATTTCGTTATAAAAGCAATCAATCTATAGTATATCGAAATACCTTCCAGAATATTTTAGATCATTTAAAATTTAAAGGTATTACGGTAAGTGAAATCTACGCTTTTAAAATAGATATCAGTAGTGTCATCAGTCTAGCTATTAATAAGCTGAGAATGAGATCTATGCTTGCTAAATATATCTCTGCAAAATACCCATGATGGGATTCTGCATATCCATAAATTTACTTCAAATTTGATAACGGGGTCTAATTATTTAGGTGATAAGCTCAGCCGTGTTATTCACTAAACAACTAATCTGGCATTAATTTCCTAATACGGCGTAAAATTCATCCATAATTAATAATCAAATTTACTCAGCTTCCACTACTTACTAATTTAATATGTACCAATATAATTTTAATTTCGCTTGATGACAGATTCTAGCGAGTATTCTTAATAACATACTGTTCAATCGTATCAATTTTTATCTATGGTAACTCTATACTACAGTTATTTATCGATTTGTAAACACACTGAAATTAATCTTTTAAACCCACTATAGGGCCCAGTGAGTTTTCATGATGGCGATCGCTTAGGAAAAATCACTATAAAACGCTTCATCAGTAAGATTAAAATTTCAGTCTACCTATATTCTCTTCACGATTACAGCTAAATGGGTCTTTTCTGCGCGAAAAATCTTTAAAATTATTCAGATGTATAACGGATTTGCTACAGATCGTTATGCCGTGCGGCTTACTGCTTTCTGTCCTATTAGAGGCTGAGATATTAATTGATGGATTATGTATACCAAAAGCCCTAAAGTTCAATTTAAATTCCAATTAGATCAACGCAACGTTATAATCGGTCAGTTTGATGATAAGACATCAAATACTACTTGGAATAACTCTACCGATATTGACTGGAAAACGCAAGGTTAGCTTATTTCTTAAGCATCATTTTAACTCATTTCGAAGCATCAATGAACTAAATACGTGCGATGGCGAAATGATATAAATCTCTTTTGTGGTTATTATATTTGATTTTTCGATTTAAATCCAAGTTAATTATTTCAACTTGGGTAGGATATACTCTTCAATCATCCATTTTCTTTTTGGTATTACATTAAATTTAGTCGACGATCTATCATCGTAGTTTATTTCATTTGGTTAGCAACTTTTTTAAATAATTATAGAACTGAAATTATAATTTTATTAACTTTCCTTCTGCTCTTACCAATACTACTCTACCATTATTGAAGTAGACGTTTATCTAGATATATTGAGTATTCATTTTGCATCTCCACCAGGTAATTCCGTTCCCACTGACTGGCGAACTATCACCATTACCAACTTAAATGTTTCTGAAATGGTCTACATGATCGTCATGATTCATGTGGGATTAGTCTTCGCTACTTCCTGCATCTTAATGGCTATTTATTTCTACTATCGCAAAGAGCCGTAAGTGGATAATTCCTAATACAATAATTTTATGCCGTCAGTTATCCAATTTATCAATGAACAACCGATCTAACAGCTTCTACTGAAAGGATTGATAAATTTTAACAATGTTTTCTAGCCCTATTGCAACTTCAAATATCATATTAGACCTATTTATGGGATTCGGAACTCTACTTTGTCTCTCGTATGTTGGATTTCTTTGCCTAGAAAATGGAATTGTTGACCCCAATAATAAGATTTTAGCTTTTCTGTGCACGGTATGAATGCAAAGTAATAAAAATTGAAGCACAATTGACATAGGTCTAGCTCACTATCCTTTATTTGAATTTGATTCGTTACAAATAATACTATCAATTCCTCATCTGATGCAGTATTTTGAATATTTACTGTTTGCTCTCTTTTTAGTTTCGGAGTTGGCTATTGGCAGTCGGCTTTTCAATTACTTTAGGTTGCATATTTGCGAATAGCTGGAGTACATATAGATCACTTTCAGGCCGATCTTACAGATTGAGAGTAAGTTATTACATGTATTAGCTATATTTCCATTTAATACTAGAATATATCATACTGAACGAAAAGCTACGGATGCTCTATCTTCAACTGCTATTTACATAAAAATAAATTTTAGGTAGTCCTTTTAATATTGCATATTTAATTCACACAGCCATAAACAAAGCCACCTTAGCAACAGCGTTGCCACCTTCTTTCTTGACAACTTTATATTTACTTTTATGTTAACTTTTATGCAGACGGTAGCAAGATAATTATTGTAATCCCTTCAATCACCTTTCTTATTTTATATTATTCAGTCTTGCCGGATTTGCTTTCAATTTTATAAATTATACGCTCAAAAAGGCATAATCTAGTCGTCGGACTGATCGCTATTACTTTTCTAACATTGCTTTTCCACCGCTTAATTTACTGTCGTTGTTATATATTGTCAAGATGTTATAGTCTCCATGATTTTATAATCTAATTGGTTTATTAAATTATTTACAATAGTAATAAGTCTCGGTGATAGCATAACTCTGATAATCTTCTTTCCTGAATGAGCTCCAGTAATATACTAGTACATGCATGATTTCTAATTTTGCTCCATTTCTCTAATTATTACCTAGAAAATTAAAAAGAGCCATAGCTATGGCATTGCCATGTCTATCTTTATTTTTAATATCATTTTATGTTCGCTACGAGCTACCGTTGATCAAGTAGAAATTTTTAATGATACAATATGGAGTCAGGTAAGGCCTACTGTAGGCATGATGTCGTTAGAATTAGAATAATTACCGGTACCTCAACTTAGCTCTTTCACTCCTTCGTCATGGTCAAAGATTAACAGACTTTAAAATCTTTTCATTGTATTCTTTCAGAGACAAATTCAAAGCGATGGTGATATATTTGTTCTACAAGTCAGAATATGCCGTTTCAGTAAATATATTGTATGGGATGCGGTCATCTTTGGTATTAACGGAATTATTCTACTTTTTGGAGCAATCACAGCTTGGCAAGCCCAACGTATCGATATTACTAATTCTAACTATGTTCGATATTTAGCTATTACCGCCTACAATTTAATAATTTCAACTAGTGTTGCTGTTACCATGAGCATTGTCATCGTAGAACGGCCAACTGTTCGATTTGTTCTGATTAGCTTTTTCATCATATTATCATCTCTATCAACAAACTGCTTGACATACTTACCTAAGGTAAAGTACCATTAAGAATACACTGATCTACCTAATTGCGCACTGGAATTTCAATATAATGGTATCCAGTTTTAGCTGGCCCACTGATACATAAAAATTCCATTTTTGCGTAATCATTCCTTAATTAATAAATCTTTACTTACAGTTAGGTAGTTTCGAATACGCATGTACTATATTGATGTTTTCGGAGAAAATTACTAGTAACCTAAAGCAACTTTTAGCTTCCTAGATATAGGTTGAGAGTCTTCTAGAATTGAGTTAAATGCAGATGATTCTTTTCAATCTTGTCAGACATCATTGAATATAATTGTAATAGTTAGCCAATATTTCTTGAATTAATAGCAACTCTCCTATAGTAAAATTTCAGCAATATTCCCGATTGTAACAATAAATTGTCAAACAGTTATTAGTATCGCCTATATCTCTTTTCAAATTTCAATTCTATACTCACTACTCCGTATAGCCTTAACTTAAATATTAGCTTTCACTTGAGCAAAATATTTTAGAATACATCCACTTATGAATTATAATTTCTAGCCCTGCAATAGTTATCGATTGAACAAAGTACTTGTCTGAAATTTATCTCATTCTGAATTAGATACTTCAATGCTAAATAAACTGGCCGGTTCAGGATTATCCAGAGCATGATTAATAACAAATGATTATATTTAACTTCCCAGGATATTAATATGTCTTTTATATTTAAAAATTTAGACCGACATCTTCATTAGTTATTATTGAATTTATCTCTTTTACTTAGATCTTATAGAGCAAAATTGTAATTTTCCATCAATGCCGAAAATTTAAGTTACATTGTATTTACAATATAGATTCACCAAATGGTTAAAGACAGGAAGGGAATTCGAAGAAAGTCATTTCTAATTACCACTGGAAGGTCGAAAACATTATCGATGGTAGATGAACATGCTGAATTTAATTTATATAACGTTGAAACTCGGAAGCAACAATTACTTTCAAAGGTAGGATATTCAAATTCAATACTACATCGTCCAAATAATCCAAGTATTGAGACTTATATAGTAATTAAGATTGCTAACAGAATAGCCATAGTAGGTACGGTCAATTACGGATTCATACTCATAAATTAAAATGACCATATGTTGACATAAAAATTTAGTATTCATGGGAGCATACTGACTATTGTATGACGGAATAAAATTTTACTTGTTTCTTCGATATGATAAATTTAGTTAGAGAACGAAATCAAAGATTTAACAACAAAAATTACGGAAAAAGATGCTGTAATTGAGAGAATATCAAAATATATCAACGATTTTATGAAGAAATACGTTGGAGAAGAAATAAATTTAGACCCAAGCTCAAGTACGACTATCGCTGATAGATTTCAAATTCATTCAGCTCAATCCTGCGATGCAAAGTTCAGCAATATATCATCTCATGAAGATAATCAAGTCTATGATTAATTATCAAAGTTCAAATAATCTCTTTTCCGAAATATTATAGTTACTGAGGGTGATGAAAGCAAAGATATTTCATTACTGCGAGAAGCTGGATTAATAGCTCTGTAAATAATAAATTTTTACTTGGCATAAAATTATTTGCGAACTTGCTTTTCAGAATATTTATGACATTTCATGTATGTACATATTTACTTTTAGCCATGAAAACCTTGTAAATATTGAAATTCTTCGCTACTACTGTATTACAGTGCTACGAAATTTCACGAATTCTCATTTAAAGATAGAATTTACGATGATCGAGGCTTGAAATGATCAATTTAGCTAAATAGCATGGATAATAAGTATAAGTATATTTAGAGAAAAATAATATCACGAAGACACTTTTGATTTATATTATTTCCATGATCTCTAAAAATCAGAAATATTTAGCCTGTTCACAGCTAAACTTATATAGTTGTGTTTCTTTTTGGCCTATTCGATTAGTTATCTAAAGTCTCAGTTACTAGAAAATATTTGAATACTTTGCAATTTCTTTTATCTTTAATAGCAATACTGTAATACTATATACAGTATATCTTAATGGTAAATGTCTATATATTAAGTTTTCTCACACTGCAGATTTAGAATATCAGAAAAAGTAGCAATAACTTTAAATATTTCCGGATAATCTTAATTTATAAATTTACTGGCTGCCGGTTTATGTTTCGTATCTATATCTCAATTTAATGCATTCCAATATAACATCGTTCATATTTACTGTTCTGAGTGATTAGAATCTTTACTTTCTGCACTTTATAAACATTGAATAACGCTAACTTGATTAAATTTGGTAATAATTATCGATTCTCATTCTTAAAATATTTCTACTTTAAGGCTTGATCTGGCATCGTTTTACTTAATAAATAAGATCATTTTGTATAGTAGATTCTATTCATCTGTGGTTTAGACCAATGGTTCCCAAACATTTTTGGCCAAAAATTCCTTTTTTAAGTACTTAGCTTATTTAATAAGTTCAACCTAAAATCAGTAGGGAACCCCTTGAGAGTCACGACTCCAGGTTGGGAACCACTAATTTGCAGCTTGACTCTTTTATTTAAACTATCAGTCAAGATTTATCAATACATAAGATTTATTCTGAAAACGGACAAAGTTAAACTGAGTAAAATACACTGCATAGCGCTCAGGGTACATTAACTAAGTTAGCTATATATCTGTTTACTTTCCTGTTACAAATCTCCTTTGTAACAAGAAACCGGGGCTTAAACACTATCTTCATTAGTACTTGTGTTCCCAACTAACTTAGGGATCTATCGTAATAGTACTAACTCTCAGCTACACAAAAAACTACTATTGAGTAATAGGTTGTGACGGAGTACAGACTCCGTCACAATTACCTATCGAGCGATGTACTGATATTGATTTATATACAGTATAACGTTTTACATATTTTAATAAGTAAGTACATACTTTCATATTACTATCCAAGTACCGTACATAATAATCACTGACGTTTATGCACTTTGCTAATTTTTCACTGAAATATGAATTCAGTTTCGTTTAAAGAGAGACTAGTGGTGCTACTGATCGCTCTGATGATAGGAGATCGTCAGTATTTAGAGTCGTATTGTAGGTAGATGTCGGGAAGGACAAATCTGGCTCATACACGTAGCGTTAGTTTGTCTCACGTTACAAATTTCGATTTGTAAAACATATTTAAAATTTCCTTCTTACCAAATTACACACAGTACCTACAGATGATAAAATATAGGATCATTATTTATTATTGATGAAGGAATTTATTAACTTGTAATCCAATTTTATTCTACCACCGCACAATTATAAAATTTAATTAATAGAGTTTAATCAAATTTATCAATTAACGTTATAAAGTTGAACTCAATTCTGGCGGCGCTAGCAATCTAGATTAATCGATACTATTTCTATTGATATCATCACGACCAAGTTCGTCAGTGGCCAAGGCTTTTAATCTCTTCGGCTCAGTAATTGTATTATTAGTTCATTTACAAAATTATTACAATAAAATAGCTATTCCAACCCTAAATGTAGCACAAATACAATAGTGCTTGTCTACTTCAATCAAATTGATATTCTATTGCTTTCTCTGTTGGAAGACCATCGTCAGTTCCTAGTTCATGTCATTCTGTAAGAACAATATTCCAGCCCTGCAATTGCGTACAAATATTAACTAACGTATTCATATCCATTTGTTTTCTGTCTCTTATCAACAAATAATTTTAATTCACATTGTAATAAATTTATATGAACATAAATAAATATTTTGCGATTATTATGTTAATTAAAAATATTTCATCCAAAAGTAGAAGCGATATAAATTTTTCTCAATCATATTATTTGATATCTACTCATTTATATGATGCGGAAAAATTTTAGACAAAAATCCGAAATGAAAACTTTTTTTATTGGTTCAAAATGGAAATCGCTATTATTTCTACAAGTTCCTTTTTTGCTTCCATTGATGTTAACAGCTGAATTATTGCACATCGACAGCTTCTTATTATAAACCAACCTAGATGGAATAGGATTGGACAATAAAATGATCCTAAAATATGACAGCTAAAAGTCAATTCAAAAACCAAATAAACCATCACGGTAATGTCGAGTATGAAGTTAAGCAAGAAAGCAGGATAAGGCATCTTTCAGTATAAACTTATCCTACCAAATTAACATATAATTATTTCTGCACGCTATAATTCAACCTTAAGAAAATACTGATAAAAATTTAAACTTATCCTAGGATTCATGATCATTCCTATTTGTTTCTTGACATATTAGCAATTTTACAAATAATATATCTTAAAATTTCCAGCTAGAATGAATGCAAAATGGTAATAAATCTGATCTAGAGAAAGCTGTATTTTAAATTATCATTCATTACTCTTGCTGTCTTATTGAATATATGTAATTATCTTAGGGTAATCTTATAACGAGCGATGTTTATTTATCTGAAAATTTAATTATTTTACAAACATTTGTCGTATGATATTATTGTATTTCAACTTTATTGCCGCTATTACTCTAAACCTTATAACTCTATAGCTTATTTCATAAGTTCGTTCATCCGAAAATAAATTACGCAAGGACTTCGTTCATTACTTTTAATAGTTTTGGTTTAAACAATTACCCTGCAGTCTTTATAAATTCTAAACAATAAAATTTTATCATTCACATGTATTATATGATTATATTTTGTGGATCAATTCAACTGAATCCAATTCAATCCTTTCAGCTACATTGGACAGGAAAAAAGTCATAATTATATATCATCGTAGTCATCATACGACATATACACGGTCTGAAAAGCAGAAAATATAAAATACGTAAGATTATTTTAGACCTTATTTTAACTACTTACTATTAATAGAAGACTAATCAAGATTAATTGTAGATCAAGCAAACTACAAGCTTTAATAAGTTTATCGCAAGCAATTAGTATTGAACAGAATTCAAAGTCGAACATTAGACGAACATAAAAATGAGAGAACTATCATACCCTATTCCCTCAAATAAATAGTTTACCCTATATAATAGCCAACTAAGTGTCAATTAGTCTGTGAAAATTAAGATATATAATTTTCAACTTCTTCAAATGAGAAAATAATGGAAAAGCATTAACATAGATATGTATTTTTTCCATTACTTGTAAAATATCATTTATTGTTTAACTATGTAATCTTTATGAGGTCAGATAGGCGTGTCTATCTTACTGTTGTACTGATTTTAAGCAAACGGCTATTGGGAATCATTCGAGCTAATGATTGAATCATTTTTTGATTATACGATTATGATCGATCAATTAATTCGTTAATTCATTTAAATTTTTGACATATGTAAGAGAAAATTAATATTAAGATGAAAATCAATGTTGAAATTTTAATGGTATATTGACCTTTTACTGACTAAGCTTGATATTGAATGCCGTAACCTTAATCCGAAATGTTCATTCGTTCACCGGCACGAAAATAACGATAAATGAAACAAAGCTGAGATCTTGATATTCTTTTTCCTTTTTCCTAGTCTTTCCTTAAATCTTACAATAATAGATAAAACATCGATATTTTTACTGGAAATTTCTAAAATTGTCTAAAACTTCGCTCGAACCGAAAAAGAAAGTGATAGCGTAAGAAATAAAGTCTTTATTAAATTTCTTTTAATTTTGGCCAAACTTTACAAAGATACTCTCAAATTCGAGCTACAATCGTGAACAATAACAAATGCAAAATCTTATCCACTTGTATATTATTCCTATTAAATATGATAGCAGACAATCGTCATCTTCCTTCGAATTTTTTCAAGTTCTTAATTGTCTGATCCATAAACACCGGATGATCAATTGTTGTCTATATATTAGCAGTCTGAAATACCTTGTGGCCAATGAAAGAAAATGTAAGACTAATTTTCAGTTACGAATCAGACAGTCATTAGCTTATTTAGTCTACGTAAATAACAAATAATTCATCATAGGCATAAAGGACATAGAATAACGTGGATAGAGGGGTAACTCAAGCATTGTTTCATAATACTGCTCGGAGAGTAAGGCCTTGGACCATTACCAACTGATCCATAAATATTCAAATCATTTTCAAAGGTTAACAGGAACTTAGGTGTCGACTATAGGTATGATGGAAATTAAATTCTGATGAGTTATTTCGGATTTTTCATATCAGTACTTTGCCTTTTTAATATGCTATTTTTAGTGTAGGTATAAGAATAAATTGACGATCAAAGCCTGAAAACCCTTCATCTTTTCCAGTAATAGTATTAATAAAATCTCTGATACTGAAACGTTTAAATTCTGATTTAATGATATTTCAAGGCCTGATAATTACTTTATGAAATTACTTGCCCTTAACATATACCTTGTACTATAGTTAAAAAATAGATTATGCAATGTATTTAAAATTAAATTTTAATTTTGTATTTGGTAATTAAATAATTACTAGCTATCATTCAGCCAATATGACAGACTATACCGATTCAGTAGCTTAATAAATTGTTGTACAGGAGCGCTTACCGAAAAATTAATCCATACAAATACCAGATCTTTCTATAATTTTGACAGAGATTTGGAATTGCATGAAGGTAGGACTGCTTTTGAAGCAAAGTTAATTCTCATAAAATACCATGTTGTCCCTTTATTTGTTTGTTTGTCTATCTAGCCTAGGTAATTAAGAGAAGTAATGACTAAAGCCTTAACGTTTTACTTAATTACTAAATTTAAGATATCTTTTATGATATGTAAACAAGATCTGAATCCTAGAATAGGCTCTAATAAAACTGCGATAGCCAAGAATCGACGTAATACATCATTCACTGTAGTTTGCACAGTAACACACGTAAATATTGCATATAAATGGTATTTATAGGTATCTAGAATGAGTAGATACTATTTCAATTTAAAATTAATACAGTATACTATTGAACGCAATATAGCCACATTACTTTAATGAATACAAGCTCACCTTTCATTTTAAATTGAGTGAAGTAATATTGCTATCATTATCATTATTACTACTGGTAAATGCTAAATTTTCGTGCCTGAAATTAGAGAGAAAAATTATTTTACATAATGTAAAATAAGACTCTATCCGTATAAGCCGAAATTTTGTGACATTGTTTAGGGAAATCTTTAATTAGAATTATTCAAATTCGATACTATAATAGAAACATTAAATTTTTTTATATTTTTAGCGTATATGCTAAATATCTGACATTGAATACTATTAAAATACACGTATCACAATACTACATTTAAGGCCATTAGATTAACTTTAGACATTTGGTAAAGTGCCTACCCTTATTACTACTATATTTTCATACTTAAAGTTTCAGCAAATGTGAGGAAGATAGTATTACTTTACTTTCCCTTATCTGACTCTTTAACAATTCGCACCTAAGGTCTCAACATAAATTGCAAAACTTCATGTCGTATCGTATCCTATCTTAATGTGAAATGTCTCTTAAAGTACATCGTTGCTAAAATTAAATAATTCGGTCTCTTATTTGATAGATACAAAGGGGATCTGAATAAATCTAATTCTATTAAAATTTCGCTAGTAAAGAGTATTATCGGTTATTTTTAAGAACTCTACTATGAACTACATTTATTTCCATCCTAAACAGCCACTCGTGATAGAGATCGAATGCAATCTTTTGACAACCATACAATCAAGTAGGATTATTCATTTTAATTTTAATAGCTGAATGAGTATAGTATATTGTTTGATATTTATGGCTTTGAATTCCGCTAGGTAAGTTGATTGATTGAATTTAATCAGTGAGGAAATGAAGAATATTTTCTCTATAATAATGTTCGCAAGTTACGCTTAATTGATACAGTGTATTCAATTTTCGTTCTGGTATGTTTTTATGGTAGCTATAAAGAACTAAAGGTATGCAAATAATAATATTAGGTCTACTTGATAGCTACAATTTATCATAAGCCAGACAAATACCTAAATATGTTACCGACCTTAATTTGTGGAATCTAGTAGCATACGTTGAGATGGTAATTTTGACGCTTTTATTGTCACTAACAATTAATTGAGGTTAGTATTTACTATAATGCCACTGGGCCATTTACTATATTAAATACAGAATAAATATGGGAAATATCCTCGATTATCGCTATTTCTTATTTAACATATTTAGTATAAGATATTAATCTACGTCTTTATTCGGGAATCTACCGCTGAATCTAAGAACTACTATCTGTCGGAATAATATTGATCCAATTTAGGTTACAGATTTATAACGAAAATATTGATATGACCGATCTAGGTCCTACTGCATGTATTTACATTATATTTAGCAATAGAAGTCTGAGAAGCTGGATAACAGTCTCCATACCCTTAATATAGTCTAAATGTAAATATTCACACATAAAAACTACTCACGGTAATTAAGTACCGTGACAACCTATATATATGATGAAAACAACAGTTATGTTCTCTACTACAACTTATTCAAAGTAAATCTATAATACATAAGCTTAATCTAACTTCTATCCCTCCGACGGTAATACCGCAGTGGTCATAAAAGAATTTGATCATTAATCATTTTTCAAACAGAAAACGGAAAAATCGCTATATCTGTTGGGAAAAAATGGCAAACAGGCTAATCATTATGACAGCTATCGCTTTCATTTTATCCTTAAAAGCTAGAAGAAATCTCGTTGTAGCCTGCCAGAGTATGCCAATGCAAAATCGACATCCGATCACTATCTTGGGAGGCTTTAGTTTAAGTGGTGGCTGGATTGGTGGTGGCTCTGTTGGTGCTGCCATACTAGGACTACAGCATATCAACCAAAATTCATCTTTACTACCCAAATACTACTTAAATATGACATGGAGCGACACCAAGGTAATTCTTACAAACTCTACATCTATCAATTCTTATTGTAATGCTACAAATGAGATTAAGACAGCTGTCCCGATCTTTTTTATTGCCATTTCTACATATCTGATTAGCTTAGTACATTTAATTTTACATAGCATTAATTATTTTACCAAGTATACCAATAATTTGCATGTCTCGGTGTATAGGCTAATCTTGAATATCCTCTGTAGTCTAAGATCTGAATTATTGGTCAAACTGCAAAGTATAGGAGCATAATTTAAGAAAATACGTTTGACCTACTAGGTCATTTGCAATATTTTCTCATCGATTTTAACTATACATAGCGAAATGATTACATATTTAGTGTCAAGCAGGATCCGGTGTGGAAGCTCTATTTAATCAGTTAAGTATAGAACCGGTTAAAATGTTAGTTTTAGCTGCAAGCTGTTCAGTCTCCACCATACCTCAAACGCAATTCTCTCAGCATTTCAAAATTCTACAGGTATCCTTCAATTTTTTGATAGCCTACTTAGGGCTGGATATTTTCATGACATCAATACTTTTATAATATTTCGACATTCAAGCTGATTAAAAAATTTTATATGAGCTGTAGATGATATGATAATAGTGCGATACTGAGTTTTATATTGATCTTAATAATTTAGTTATCTTATGCCGCTGCATCGCCATTATTGAATAATCGCAAGAAGTATCCAAATTTTTTCCGAACTTACCCATCGGATACCAACCTCAACCCTACTCGAATTCAGTTGTGTAAAAGATTTAAATGGAAAAATATTGCAATCATATATGAGAATGATGATACGAGGGTTTTCTACGAGGTTACTACTTAATCTATTTCATTAGATTGAGCCTTTCAGACCAATCTTGTATTAAATCGAATGATTATTTTTATGATGTTTTCAGGCTTTGAAGCCATTATTAACTTTAGCCAAAGAAAATAACATAACTATCACTGCACTACAAAGTTTTATACCTGGAAGTGATCCATTAGATGCTCTAATGAATATAAAAGTTGGTTCATTTTACATTATTAATTCTAATATACTATTAAACCATTGAAGAAATGAGGATAAAACTTACAATTTTACCTAATAATTTACTGTATTATATATCTATAGGAAGTGAAAACAAAGATTATTGTAGGAGGATTCTACGCAAAAGCGAGTCGTGCTGTTTTTTGTCGGGTAATAAATACCATTATAATTCTCTTTGATTAGAGCTACCTCTTGCATAAAAATTGATTTATCCAATATAAGAATAACCAAATATTGATTAATCTTGGTAATTTAACTATGGTTTAAACTCACTACCTAGGCCTATCATTTAAATTTAACTGGCCCAAGTTATGTATGGATGATCTATGGCTGGTATGGAGAGCAGTGGTGGAAAACTCCAAATGGAGTACATATTGGAGATGTTTACTGCAATAATTCACAAATGGAACAAGCTGTCGAAGGCTATTTCTCTACAGAAGCCGTTCCTATCTCAGTTCTACATAAAAAAACAATTTCTGGACTGGTAAAATGTTGCTTTAATTCCGTAAAAGCTGTGTGTTATTGTTTGGTATCATTAAGAACTTTACTGAAGTTTAAAACTTTATTTAGCCGCCAATTCATTAAGCATATCTCTTGAGATTGATAGTTCGTATTATTACTTAGCCTACTTTAGTTATCAATACTAAATCTCACGGATAAGCATGAACTGTAAAATTTATTATTTCGACTATCTGAAAAGATCTTAATGGTACCCTTTCTTTAACTTTTAAAACTGTTTCGAAAGAGCGACAGCATTTTTATTTATGAATGACAAAACTGATCGCAATCGAACATTAACAGCATCATTATATTAATTTTTCTGTTATATCATAGGAGTGTACAAACTCCATGTCTTTCTTTCAAAGCAAATCTGTTGTGTGCCCTTTTTTAATTTCGATATTACATTTTCGTCGTTAGACCCCATCAGAATGGGTTAACATTTACAGCAAGTATCAGGAACACCCAAAATTGCCAAAAGGATCTGAAGAATTAGCAGCATTTGCCTACGATGCAGTTTGGGCAATAGCTTTAATGCTAAATCAATCCATACCGAAATTGGAAGCTATCAATAAATCCTTACACAATTTCAAGTATTACGATCAAGATTTTTATCGCATTCTGAAAGAAGAAATGTCCAAAGTCTCCTTTCTTGGCATTACGGTATGTATAAAAAATTTATCGCATTTAGTTATGTGATATATACCAATCATGAGATTCCAAATTTTAGAAAAATAAGGGCTTTATTGAATCTTATACAAAGATTAACTACACACAGCTCTACTCTAGCCGAATACTACTTCTAAAGACTTCTACAACGAACTAATAGAATAATCTAAAGTTGCATGCTTTTATAATTTCCGTAGCATTCGCAGCTACAATCCGCATGGCAACCTTTTACCTTATTTTATACATAGTTAAATTATTCTTAGTAAGACTATTCTACTGCGGACCATCATTAATCCAATATGGATACGACTACAGTACTTACGTAGACATTATTCACACCAGCCAAAGTACAATGAATTAACCATATCATAATATATGATTTACAGTTCTATTTTTACCTATATATAGCCTTATTAGTAACTCAACACCTTACTGTATATAGTCATCTGTATTCTAGCATAGAGTCTCTACCACTACAGTCTATAGCTATAGCTACCAAATATTTCTTAGGATAAATATCTACCGTATATTATACTAAACATGGCTAACAGTCTACAATCACAATACTAGTTCCATTACAAGTTATTTAATAAATATTAAAACAGGTTAAATATATAGTATTTACAAATTTCAATTCCAGTCGATATTACATTCAATTATATGAAGATTTTGTCGAATAAAAGTATCAATATCTCTTAATTAAGGGCCCAGTAACGTTTTCATCTACCGGTGATCGATTAGGCCCAATGCTAATCGAAAGACAAGTCAGTAAGTAGACTATAATAACATTTAACATTAACAAATTAAGAAAGATACCTGGACCATCTGTAATTGCTCATATTTTTATGTTCAAAATATTTAAAATATCATAATTCCCTATGAGGAAATAAGAAGGCAGTTCGATAGACAGAAATTTAAACAGAATAGTTTTAATTCAAGGATGTAGCTTTTAGAAGTTACTTCAAAGCTGTAAAATTAATATACTACTACATTTTAAAGTCTTTTAGCTGTATAGTTAACTACTGAAACTGTAAGGCACAGTTTAATAGTCACAAATTTCATGCTTATTTACTGAATTGAATAATCCCTTTTCTTATTTGCATTAAAAATTAAAGATGGAAAAGAGATTGCGATCGGAAGATATTATACGAATCTAAAAAAGACTGTCTGGAATTATTCGGTTGAAATGGAATGGAAATTACCGGGTATAATTATTCATTAGTCATCACATTATACAGCAGCAAAAATTAAGATTATAACCCAGATTAAAATACTTGTAACGATATAGAACTAATTCACTTATAAATAGCAATATCCTGAATCAAAAATATTTAAGTTTTCAACATTTGAAACTGCATTTTAGGCAACAGGACGCCGACAGATCAAGTCAAAATAATTACTGTCGATATAACTGTGCCGCTATCAATTTATATTTCTATGAGTGCACTAGCATGCTGCGGAATCATAATGTGTATCGGCTTTATAATTATAAATATAAGCTACAAAAGATATAAGTAAGTCTTTTGACGCTCTGATGTCAAATTTACGGTCTAATTTTGTTGCAATAAAATTCTAATCATCGCTACTTAATTATCACTCTACTCTTGTTTACTATCCCAGTACATAGTGATGATAAAAGACTAATGAGTATATAATCTACCCTGATTCTAACTTTTGAATGTGTTACTATTGCTATAGGATTATTAAGTTATCAAGCCCAAATTTAAGCAACTTCATTGCCGTTGGCGCAATTTTATGCTATATATCCGTTATTTTATTAGATCGATACACTGAATTAGCCCCTATCCATGGTCTCGTTGCTATTTTGGCTTGCCTGGTAAGAGCTGTAAGATTAACAATATCTGATATAATCATGGAAATTTTCGATTAAAAATATGATTGAAAAGTATGATTACTACATAAAACTTAATCTAATTTGTGAAAAGTAAAGTAAAATATAATTTCGAATCAGGGAGAAGTATGGTTTCGAGCTATAGGGTTTACTATGGCATTTGCAGCTTTATTCGCTAAGACTTGGAGAATAAAAACTATCTTTAATTCTACTATAATAGTCAAAAGAAAGGTAATCTAGAGCTATCCATATAGCAAAAAAATCTATTTTTAGCTCTAGCAAGATTTTTCTAAAATTTGGGCTACGTTATCTTCCATTTATTATTGATGTGCTAGGTCATGCGAGATCGAAGCCTATATGGTATTGTTTTTGCAGCTGTTCTTGTGGATATCATATTACTATCCCTACAACTGGCAATTGATACAACCACAATTGAAATTAAAAATCAATATGTAAGGCTGCTGTAGTAATAACTTGTAGTATCGCCAACCATATTAATTTTGTAATTCAATTTACTTTATCATTTTCATTAGTATTAATACAGAAAGTAGAGTTGAATGGCTAAAAATGTCAATGTAATAGAAAGAACAAGTTTTAAAGCCATTAGCAGCTATTAATAGATAAATTTATACTATGAAATATATCACGTATCCAACCCTTGATTATTTTCATTCAGGTTTCATCTGAATTGAACGGCTACGAAGACACTATTTATAATTACATTCGACATGAATGCACATCCCAATATGCTATTGCTTGGAGCATTCTTCTGTGGGGAACGAATGGTGTTTTGCTATTTTATGGGGCCTTTCTGGCATGGAAAACAAGAAAAATTCAGCTATCTGTTGCTAATGACTCTAAATTCATTGGCTTGGCTATTTACAACGTTACAATTTTTGTCAGTTTAGGCATATTTGTTAGTATTACGCTACGTGATAAAGTAGACATACATTATGCTACTATGGCATTACTGATACTCATCGCAACGACATGTACTACCTGCTTGGTCTTTGTTCCTAAGGCATGTTATGAACATTTTCAAACACAAATATTGTATTTATAATAAGATTTTATTTAAAGATGTAATATAAATGGTAAAATGGAGACCATAAATATGGAAACTTGGACGGATTCTAGTACCTCAAATACGTTTGTCAAACTTAACATGCTACTAATAAGTGATATCAATATGGAAGTACTGTATCGTTGTCGCTAACGAAAATATACTGTATTACAAACCAAATCATGCAGAAGCTCTATAATATAAGACATTTCCAGGAAAATATTAATCATTGCATCGTTTTATCTTTTCAGATTTTAGCCTTAAAGCATGAATTGAATCACAAAAAAGACGTTCGATTATCAATTCATAATTTAAGTGTGAATCTTAGAACTATTACTCGGCTCCATCTAAATGATTTTGAACCTAGAAATAACTTAGAAAGAGACTGTTCAGATTCATCACTAGATACCAAAATCCATAAGGTTAGTTTCTACGAACTGATCTAGAACTATTAGCAGTTAGCTTAAAACTTGGCTATCAATTATAATAAATGGCAAGACAGTAATTTGCTACAAAGTAGCTTTTATACAGCAGCTGCAATAAAACGCAGATATCAAAAAACGCACATAAGAATATACATATGACCATTTTATAAATTTTTTTAGATGCAGTAAATATTTTTATAAAGGTATTTATAATTCTTCTATTATTGTCTAAGTACTGATAATTTATATCTATATAGAAAGAAATATCTTAAATTAGTTGATTTTTCGATAAGATTCGAGTCTATAGTTTGTCTAACAAGACATGCGGTTGCAGACGATAGTAGATCCTTAGTATTTTAAGTTTTACATACTGTAGACAAATGTTACAGAGGACAATACTAATTGCAGACATGGAGTAGTTAAATTCCTCGTTATAAATTGGTTATAGCGCAACAGTATAATATCTTATTGATATAATCTCTTGAGCAAAAATAAAATTTAAGTCTACTTTTAACGTACAGTAGTCCAATATATCTTGTCAGTCGAGGCGATATTTAAGGCTCAATATATCAATAATATGACAAAATACTTTGCCTATTGGCAAAACTGATTCTTTTGGCTGATAAATAGTCAAAGAGGAAGCAGCAACATGTAAACTGCATACTCGTTATTACATACTCATTATTAGCACTAAATTTGTAAATGTCACCAAACTTGTTCATAATTGTTTGCATTTAAATTACAATATGTACAACAAGGATTATCCTTGTGAATTTTAAGGAGTCATAGTCATAATACTAATTAACGGCTACCTACCGATGATCTTAAAATAAGAGTCAGCTTAGCTTTCTAAATGCTAAATCTCATTATATATTCAATTCACTTGACAATACGAGTACAGATGGACATACATAACTATACTGTTATATATTGTGACATCGTGTGACGTCACTGCCGTATACTTTAGCTCTATAGTAAAAACAGGAAGAAAAAACAATAGAAATAAAAACAGAGTTATTGTCTAGTTATATTGAAAATTTACTTAGTAGATCACTAATTTCCAAGAATATTACTAATCATCACTTAATACTCTTATAATACGATGATCGGGTAAATCAAGTTACAGATAAGACTCAAATCTAGCTTCAACATGTTAACACCTTCCGTATAAGTATTAAATAAAGTAATTCGGACCATTAATAATGCTATCACCATAGCCATAATATAAATCGCGTATACTTGTACTTCCTTGTTTACTTTATCAATTTTATGACATGACTGCCTGGTAGTTCATTTTATATCAATGCAGTTCATTTACATTTATTAAGGCAATTCAATCTATCGAAAATATTCGAGACACAGATTTTACTTTCGAGTTTTTTATCATTAAATTATGTATCGATATGCGTAGGTTGAGGTCATCGTAAAGGAAAATTGATAAATCGCAGCGAATTTTATAGTCAGTGGCATCTTTATTTAATATAAAATGTGATAGCATGAGTGTTTGAATGCTATTTCGCTCAAATAGACTAGTTTTATAGCCGGCTTACTTTAAATATTCTTTAGAGCTTAACATATAACGAAATGATTAAACATGTATTAGAGACGAATGCAAAGAATGTTAATTAGATTGAGACAATTTAGCGGTCTACTATGTATTATGGTACTGTTTATCTACGGTAGAAGCATAAGTTCTGAAAATTGAAATATATATATATAGCATTACGCATTATTATCAACCTACCCCATCAATTTCTATATTTACTAACTAACGTTAAGCTATTTCACTGTATAAATGATGATTTAAAGATGATATAGCAAGTGTACAAGGCTTCGCATTCTTGACAATAAGATCAAAACCTTTAGATCACCTGAACATAAACAAATTAAAGTAGATAAAATTCGATCTACAACGCAACTTTACCAAGCCTCATACTATCGTTAATTAAGTTAATTAAGTGAAGCTCTATTTGTACTCATTAATGATATAATTTATCCTTTTTTCACTTAATGACTTTATCAGCAAAAATTGAAGATACTAGAATTGAAAAATCAACTTAATGAAAGGGATTCAATTATGCAAAGAATAACATCAGGCCCAAAACTAACAGGTAATTCTTTATCCATCACTCATACAGTAAAGCTAAAGATTATCTTAACAGTGCACTATTAATTCGATTCAAAATTTTTTCTCAAATCAACACTATGAATGACATTGAAAATATTATATTTCGATTTATTCACCACCTGGAATTGGATTCATTAGCATCAAGAAAGCGCATAGCTAACAAAGGAAGCAGTATATAAATTTCATTATCGAAGTAATAACGAACAATTTACAAGTTAAAGTTTATTATTCTATATGAATTTTTTTAGAAGAATCGAAAGCTATTTCTACTTCCGATTACCTTGACATTATTTGCGATGGAATTATAATGAGCACTACTTAGCTGAAAGTGGTTCATTATCATTCTGTTTATCAATGGTAGTGCTTTTGGCTTGCTTTATCATAATATTTATCAATATTTATCAAAGATTTGCGCTGTAAGGCGAATAAAATTAAAATTTATAAGTTATCAATGAGTTTTTAGTTAGATGTAATAGCATTTAAATAGCTACTGGTATTTCAATCCTGTAAAAATTTTTACATAAATAATCTAATGTATTTACGCTTGATTTATAACATTTTAAATAGACTAAATAAGCATATTCATATTTTCAAATAACAATAACTCCGTAGCCTTAGTAATGAAGATAACATAGCTACCAATTTCATCATGTTTATCTAACGCATTAAGGTGTAAAAATATTTTTATCACTACATTTAAACCATAATTATTCATTTATTCTTTTATAATCTGTGACGTTACTATGTCAATACTTTTTCTGTTAGCAATTGCCGCCTTTAATCAACTCAATACAGTGTAGCTTACTTAAAATAAAGCCTAAATTGATATAAAGATTAATCTATTTTCGACGTCAAGAAGTTCATCCCGGAATTAAGAAACAATTTCATCAATTATGTGCAAATTACCTTGCGAAAATAATCATTTACATGTTTTAGTCTATAGTGACACAGTGATATAAAAACTAAATACTATTCAATACTTTCTATATTAATCTAAATCTATCCACATAAAAAAGCACACGTATAAATATAGGGAAGTCATCTTTATTTCCTGCACTACTGATTAAAAGATTCGTTATTTGAATTTATTATTATGCAATCATCCACGAAGACCTAATAGATTCAGTACCAAGTACAGGTAAGTATCCTAAATATTAATATTCGATATCTTCACTTTATTTTACTCCTTTATTGGATCAAAAATGGACACCATACTAAAAATTCGCTGTACTGCACTCATACCAGCGTTCTAGATATAGTATAGCAATAGTAAGCTACTATGTTGAATGGCACCGTACCGTCTTATTAAAAGCAGTCCATATGTTCCTTCCATAGTTTGAATGTCCCACAGCGCCATATTGCTTTCATGAACAAATGCAACTACATGCATATAAAGTGTTGGGAAAGTAGATTGATTTCATGATTAAGTTATCGGACTTGATTATCTAAATTTTAACAAGCTCAATCGTGAACATTATATGCAGCTAACGGACTTTGCTGAAAAACATTTTGAAGCTGGGGAATTCACTTTTTGATAATGACCTAATTGAGTTGTGTAAAACAGTGTAATATTGTATTCGAAGTTGATGATATATTTAGTAATGTCTACCGTAGGTGTTGTGTTCAACATGTGATAGATATTCTCGTTAGAGGCTTAAGTATTAAATATAGCTAGCTTAGTAACTGTAATCCTTTTGAAGAGGAGCGCTACAGTGCTCACACTAGAGCTTCACATGAAAGGTGTAAACTATCCTGTATTTGAGATGCTAATATTGAAGTGTGTAGTAAGTAAAGGTGCTAAGACTGTAAACGCGGAAAAGTATATAAGCGAGTAGTTTAGTATAATAAGAGAGTTCTTTCTCGCTAGAGGTCCTCAGCTAATCGATTACGTAGTAACTTCGTAAACGAGGTTTTGTTCAATAAATCTTAATTTTCTAAAGTTTTGAAGATTCTTGATCTATCAACCTCACAAGCTGATAGTTAATACTATACTCTCAATTAATTTAATTTAAATTAAATATAAAAACTTTTTTGGTTGATTAAAGCTAACCTTTTGGTTTCTACGCTCTGTACAAAACTGAAAGGCGACTGTAACCTGTGTATCTTTACTAGAAGTTTGCTCGACAAGTTTACTTTTGTATCATGTCACTTTACATATTTATTTTCTTTTACCAAAAATTTTTTATCAAATTTTAACCAACATCAGGGACCATCTTAATTTAGTCAGTACATGCAATATTTTTCTAGCATTGATAGTAAAGGAACTTATAAACGTCCCATATTATGCGATAGCTCCATAAAAATCAGAAACGCCTACCATCCGATGATTGATATTTGAGTAATATTCCATCACTTCTGGTCTATTGCAAATTTCGTAAATAACAATATTAGCAAGAGCATCCCGCATAATGAGCAGAATGTTCTCTCTACTATGCATTGCTCCCGTCGTTATAATTTATGAATTATTCATGATCTAAATAAAATGCACAATAAATACAGACTTATAATGCTTGTGTCCTATCCTTAACTTAATATTGATATTTACTGGCGAAAATACTTCTATCGTAATTGTCAACAATCGCGCTGATGCGTGACTATATTATTTGTTCAATGTCGGAGAATTTCAAATGGTAAAATCACCAGGTAACGATATTGTCATTTTATTGATTATAATACAACACTTTTAAGTCGCTAATATAAAAAAACTTAATCCTAAATAATTTTGATGTCGATTCATTGTACGTAATACTACACAGATCAGACATAATTCGGTCATGTTGACATTGGAATACATTTCATCCTATCGTTTCTATCGAAAATATGTGGCGTATGAATGAGATTCAATGCTAATACGACAACTATGGTACCTTTTATTTTACTTTTCCAGCTATTCTAGAAAAGAATTATTGTTGTAGCCTTGATTATTATCTGACATGAGATGAAATTCTAACTTACATAAGGAAAAAAGTGCTAAACGGCATAGTGTAGGTAGAATCATCTAACACGATCAATGATGAGCATTGTTAAGGATCCAGTAGAAGAACGACTTAAAGATCAGCATCCTTTCACTACCTGTGCATTGATTTCAGTGGCATTAGTTGCGATAATAAACTAATTGAGATTACTTATTTCAATGTTCTTAAGATATACAGATTAAAACATCTAAGGCTTGAATGAGTGGGCATCCATATTAGCAGATGGATCTTTGCTATATACAAATAAAAATTAAGTATTCGATATTTACAGCAAATAGTTGCGTATAGAAGTTATAGAACTGTATCGATATTTAATTAAACACACACTATGATATACTGTACTTCTGTAGTAATATTCGTTTAGTGTGATTACTATGCAGACTTGACTAACAGAAGAGCAACATGTGTGCAAAGCACATGATTCTATTAGTTCAAAATCGATTGACGTAGGATCAGGCTACATAGTAAACGAGACTATCCGCAAATCATTTCGTAAATAGTCACAAAATCATATCCAGTATTAGCTGTGTTCATTATTCAATATGTTCTAGTTCTTGGACTACTAAAAAATATTGTGGCACTTTTTAGCAATTCATGTCTCGATTAATGTCTATGTGCTATAATTTTATGTCAAGTAGAATAAGAGAAAGCTGCTGTGAAGTTTCAAAAGCTTGACGTGAATGAATTGCTTATGCACACATCGTGATATCCAAAATATTTTTAATTTTATGATAGCTTAAAAGAATTTTCAGCCAAAGGCATTTGGGCGTTAGCCCGTTTTACATATTTATGGCTTTCTGAGAATCTTAACAATAGCCTTATTTAACATTGAAAGTTTAAGGATTTCATGCTAGCAAGGCCTAAAAAGATGCAACAATAATTTATATAATAATCAATTAAATATCATCTTCATGCTACAATAGGAAAGCTTAATTAATGTAGGACAAAATTTTTTAAGGTAGCAGTAGAGGAAAAGTATTGAAGAAAACATCGAATCGATAGAATATAGCATCGGTGAAATAACTAAGGCGTTAACTCAGACCACAAGGCATTAAAATAAAGTCGATATTGATTTCCATAGTAATATTTAATGATTTAAAATAGAAATCATCAAGGAAGGAATGATCAAGATTTAGATGGAATTTTAAAATGATTAAACACTAATCATTTCCCTTAACTAAGTTTTTTTTAATTCGATATAACTGAAATCTTTCCATACTAATTAATTATCGCAAAAATCGACCATAAAGTTTTGATAAAGTTAACACACCCAAGCCTATCTGACGTAGAAAGTATGATAAATGATTATAAATGAAAGACTGAGCTTGTAAAAGAACAATTCATAAACAACTTCAATTAAAACAGTTGCGTTTAGCACAGCGATTTTAAGAATATTCTATCCAGTTATGAAACGAATAAAATAAATAGGTCAAGTGTGCCAATCGACAGTACAAATACTACGTAATACTTATAATAGAATATTCTTACAGCCTGAACTTTCACCCGATACTTTTCATTCCTTCATTTTTTGAATAACTTAGATTGGCGATCTCTTCTACTCTTAAATACTTTTGTTCTAAGGACTATTTTATCTCTTCTATTCAACCTAATAGCAACCAAATGAATAGCTTGCTATTATTTAGTCAATAGTCATGCAGTTATGATTTCTATTTCAGTTGTCAGTATGTTTGTTAATAAGACAGATAGGAGATAATAACCAATCCAATCAAAATGTTCGAATTTTTCCAAAAAGTTATTTGTTTTATAGTTTACTCATCTAGTGTCAGAAAAACTTGTTAATTTCGACAGTTTCTAACGTATTAACGACACCATGCCTGCCCAAACTATTCTCTATTCCACTGTTACACTGTCTCCACTAATTTTTATTAACACAATATAGAAAGTAAATGATTCAGTAGAATATCAAAAAGTATTTAAGACAAATAATTAGAATAGCCTATCCAGTCAATAGATGACACTCGTATAATACTTCTTTCCTTAACAATGATATTTATCAATATACAAATCGACCTAATTCGACCTAAAATTCAAGCGAAAAATTTCTAAATGTCTTAACAGCTATATACTCTATATGAATAAGAAACCATTGCAAATTGCAGTAGACGTCAGCGATCACTATAGCGGTTCTCTATGTTTACATCAATAATAAATAGTTAGATAATTACAATAGATTTCATCGATTACAATTGCTGCTGTATACGTGCCTATTATCGGAACATGGTTAAGTAATTGCGACGGATCTCAATGGTTACAATTGCGTTCAATTTATATGCCAAAACTAAGGTAGAAGACAATATAAGCCTTATTAAGGCGTCAAAGATCAAAA